ATGAAAGTGCTCAGTACATGGCCTGGCACACAGTGAGTCTGCAACTGGCTCGTAAGCATATCAGTGTGTGCTTGATGCCTTTGCCCAAAGTCAAGTTCCTCCATCTTCCTGAGCACTCACAATGTGCCGGGTGCCAGGTGCCAGGGAAGTGGTGGGTGGGGTACAGGCAGATCCTGCCTACATGTGAAGCCGGGCCCGGTTGCGATCCCCATAATAGGGGCCTTGCAACATCCCCAGCCTCACCTTTCCTTGACCTATAGCTTAAGGATAGATCACCCCCCTGGGCTGAGCTGGAAATGTCCCCTGTGCCACCCAGTTCCCTGTTTTAGAAACTTACCCTGAAACTTATGATTAATACCCTTAGGCTTACTGATCACAATCTCTATCTATGGTCTAGCGTTCTTTCTAGGCTAATCCCATCATTGTTCCTGGGTTGCTGACTCCACCGGAGAACCACGTGGCCAGCAGGGAGGCTCCAAGCAGACCCCCGGTGCCATCACATAGCCTCTGGAGGAACGCCCAGATTTTCCCTTAAATACCCCAGGCTGGTCTGAGAATGGTAAGGCAGTTTTTGGAGGTGTTAACCCGCTGCCTTCTCAGACTGCCGGTGCTCTGATAATAAACACTTAGTCTATGCCCAACTCCTGTGTCGGTCTATTGGCTGAGCAGCGCAGGCAGCATGAGCCCTGGATTCATTTGGCCTCCGGTTTCACATGGGGTTCATGGTCTAACACAGGGTCTGGAAAGCAGACACAAAATGACAAGCTCCTCTATCTACACAACACTCACCATAGTTCCCTGTGCACAGCAGGTCCTCAGGTTAGTGTTTAGAGGAAGAAACGTTTATGAGTATGCTCAAATTGGGGCAGGTACTTTCACATTCATCCTCTCATTTTAAGACTTCAAGGTAAGGGTTTTAAGCCCCAAATTCAGTTGAGGAAGCTGAGGCTCAGAGGGGTTAAGTGAGTTGCCCAAGGTCCCACAGCTAGTCAGTATCAAAGTGGGGGCCCCAATCCGGGACTGCCTAATACCAAAGCCCCAGTTCTTGTCAGTGGGCCATGAAGATCCAGGGTGGGGAGCAATGACCATGAAAGAGGCAGGAAGGCAGCTGTTTTGGGAGCCTCCCAAAAGGCTGAGGGACAGGAACATGTCAGTGTCTCACTAACAAGCCCTGTCACTGAGAGGCCACCTGCCTCCCCCCCGCCAGTTCCAGCCTCACATTTGGGAGGCAGCTGATGGGCGAACTCACTTCCGATTGCCACCCAGCCAAATGGGAAATGGTAATTAATTCAATGTGATCAGTAAGGGAATTGAAGGCTTGGCTTGTATTAACAATCTGAAGTTAACATGTAATTTATGCTAATTGCAGCCACAAAGACATGCCTTTCTCCTCGAAATTGAGAATTGGTCCTATTAATAAGCTCACGTCACTCTGGGTAATGAGGAGCCTGACAGATGGTCTGCAGCATGGGTTGGAGGACAGATAACTAGGAAAGGAGCAAAATGATGACAGCACAGAGGATGGCAACTTTTCAAGAGCCTTCCCGGGTGGGGGTGGGTGGGCAGCTTTAGAGAGCAAGGGGAGTCTGCAGCCATGCCCTGGGCCTGAAGGGGGCACCTCAACCTGAAGGGTGGTGAACGATGTGCTGACCAGGCCCAGCACCGGACTCCATGCTCTCTGGCTTTTGTCACTGCAAATGGAGAGATGGCTGTCCACAGGGACTGTGTCCTTGCCCAAGCCAGGCTACCCAGCTGAGCAGAGGCAGGACTCAGACCCAGGTCTCAGCTGACTGCAAAGCCCATGCCTTCTATCCCCCGGCATGAGAGTCTGGGTTACTGCCTGGCAAGATTCACTCCCTTCCCCCACCACTGTGGGTGGAGTGCATTGTCCCACCCCACCAACCTAGGCCTTGGCCATCGCTTGCTTTGGCCAGCAGACTGTGTGGAAAGTTAAACATTGCTGAAAATTCTTTGCCGCTCCTCCCACTCTGAAGAGGAATCTATTCCTCTCTTTGTCCCCTTAAATGTGATCTGGCCTGTGACTTGTTTTGACCAACAGAATGTGGCAGAAGTGATGCATTCTGGAACCTAAGAGGCCTTGCAGCTTCCACTCTTGCCTTCTTGAAACGCTGCCCTGAGAACGCCATGTAAGGACGTCAGGAAGGCCTTCGGGAGGGTGAGTGTTTCTCAAGGAAAGGACTGAGGCACGCCAGGTGACTGCCAGCAAACACTGCCGGCCAGACAGCGCGTGAGGTCAGCTAGGGCCCTCCAGGCATGACAGCTCTGCCTGTCACTGCACGAGTGAGCCAGGAGAGGGACTGCCTAGTCGACGCATACAAGTGTGAGAAATGATCAGTTATTGCTGTTTTAAGCCACTATGTGTGGAAAGGTTGTTTGCAGCGATAAATAACTGATACAGAATGTTAGTAAATACGATATAAGCAGAGGTCTTAATTGTGCGTCGGTGGTTTGGCTTGGCTCTGGCCTTCTAGTGATGGACCATAAAAACGGCATGCCCTGGGTGGCTGCTGCCCCCCCCCACCTCACCAGGACAAATACGCGTACACATGGAGCAGATCTGAGCCCAGCCCGCAGCCTGGAGCCACGCCCACCCAATTCACAGACAGATACAGACCCTATTCTAGAGCAAGTGAGCCACAGCCAACCTGTATATCCTGAGCATGAAGATATTTGGACCTGTGACCCTCTGAGTTTGGGGGTAGTTTGTTACGTGGCGTTACTGCCCCAATAGCTGACAGACACACCCAGCCTGCCTCTCTATAACCCACAGGTTTTTATAGCAAACGCTCTGGTGTTTTGTGTGAGAAGTAGTTGCCCCATCTTTCCCGAGATTTTGATAGAATAGTTATCACTTGCATAAAGGTGCAGGGACCCAGAAGATGATATTATGTAGAAGGAGTCAGTGGTGTTGCTGCAGCTCAGCAAAGCCATTTCCCGGAGGGGACGAAGAGCTGAGGACGGGGAGGTGGTGTGGGTATCCAGGGGGTTCCTCCCGTTAGGCCGGAAGGTCCCAGGTGGGTTACCTGTACCACACACAGCAGGAAAGGCAGGTAAGGGATGTCCTTTCGACTTGCTCTGTCTCTGGGGATGCCGGGGTGGGAGAAGAATGTATGCAGGAAGGGAAGGTGCGATGTTCTCTGCAGTAGACATGGAACGCCACCTTTCCCGAGCCCAGGTCCAGCCCTAGCTCCTCAGTGGTTTTTGCCTGACCTCTGACCCCACCTGGGTGTTCCTGGTGAACATGGCGCAGAGCTGGCTCCCAGGCCCTTCCACATGGTGGTCCCAGGTTACCCAAAGCTACTGGAAAGAGGAGAGAGGTGCCTCCCTGCTGCTTACTGATGTGGACAAAGCCAGGTGAAAAGAGGCTGCTGAAAGCTACCGGGGGCTTTGGGGCCCTGCAAAATGGCAGAGAGAAGATGGTGAGGCCCACGGCAGGGCTCACACACAGGGGCTTGGCCTGTCCACGGGGAACGCCAAGCATGGGACGTCCACCTGGCCTCTGCAACCAGGAAAATAGCTCTGGTTCTCAGTTCAAGGTGATGTTGGGGTTACATTGTAGCAAAAGATAAAGAACAGGAATGAATCGAGCCCAAGCTCCAGGGCCTCTCCCATGCCCAATGGTAACATCAACGCTGAGAATAACACCAGTCAGCCCTGACTCATCCGTTCCCTCCGGTCCAGCCAAGGGCGGACATTCCCAGCCCTCCTTACTTGCTAGCAATTGGTCAGCAATCAGATCACACACCCCGGCTGACCAAGGAGAGTGGCCACAGGCTATTTTCAGGGGCAGCCGCAGGCTGGCACAAACTCTGAAGAGCAGATGCTGCGAACTGACATCCGTGAGCTGAATTTGGTCGATGGTGGGTTTTGTAATTTGCAAAAACACTATACATGGGGCACCCCCCTTGCTCCTCAAAGCAAGTACGTGGGGTGCAAATTATTAACTCTGCTTTGTAAGCGGGGAAGCTGAGGCTCAGAGAGGTTTCCGAGGAAACCCTGAGCAAGAATGCTGAGAGTTCCTCTATCCCTCTCCCATCCACCCTCTAGTATCAGCCTAGGAGTCCCTTCGCTTGCCTCAGGGTCCTGCTGCTGCTGCGCCTCACCAGGAGAGGTTGGTCAGGGTCCCACAAGCAGTGGACCTGCCCCAAGTACCCCAAGCTCTGCATCTCAGTCCCCCAACCCCCTCCTCTGGGCAGCCTCTGATGACAGATCTGTCCCAAAGAGGCATTCTGTCCTGGAGACCTCGCCCACCCGAGGCCCAGAGCGGTGGCACTCAAGCTTTCTGCTGTCTCAGCACAGAAAGTAGTCACTGGATGGCATGACACACTCCCAAAGGTGTCTGTAGTGGGTTGAATGGTGCTCCCCCCGCAAAACAAAAAAAAAAAGATATATCCACCTGGAGCCTGTGAATGAGACCTTAATTGGAAAAGGCGTCTTTGCAGATGTGATTACGTTATGTAAATATGATTAGGTAAGGGTCCTGAGATGAGATCATCCTGCCTTTGGATGGGCCCTAAATCCAAAGACACTGTGAAGGGAAGGGAAGGGAAGGGAAGGGGACACAAAGAACGAGGTGTGAAGATGGAGGCAGAATCAGAGCAGTGATGCATCTAGAAGCCAAGGAACGTCGAGGGCTGATGGCAACCACCGGAAGCTGGAAGAGGCGAGGAAGGACTCTCCCCTGGGGCCTTCGGAGGGAACGCGGCCCTGCGGACACCTCGATTTTAGACTTCTCCCACTCCCTTCCATCTCATTCGAGAACACGCATCAGAACGCAAAGGCCGATATCACTACTATAGGACTGTCTCACATCCACTCTAACTTACACACAAAAACAATAAACCATTTTCCAAATGACTTAACTATTTTGTCTGCTTTTCAAGACACAGTCACAAGACTCGCGACACATGGTCCAGAACCTCTGGACTGAGGAATAAACCTGGGAAGGGTTTTCCCCGGTGACAAGAAGCCAGGCTCACCTTTCTCCTGAGCCATCTCTTGTAGACAGAAGTAGATGACTCGGGCTCCCAGGCTGAAGCCAATCAAGGTGACGGGTCGCTGGCCCTGGGGGTCGAAAGGACACAGGTGTCTGGGAGGGGACACAGCCAGTTCTAGCAAAACATCAGTCCTGACGAGGGCGGCCCTTGCATGCTCCTTCCTCAGTGCCTGCTTGGTGCTCACTGAATCATGCATGTGCTCTTCCCACCACGGAGCTCTGATGTCTTAATCAGGAGAGTCAGGGCCCTCATTTATGTAGGAGCAAACCTGCCGGAGGGAGCTGGCTTCCTCCAAAGCACACAGGAAGCCTCTGGCAGGGTTAATTCCCTTTCATCTCAACCCATTATCCAGCCGCCATCTCTTTGTTCCCCAGGAGACAGGACTCATCTACCTTGTGGCAAATGACTGCAGTGAAGTGGGGCCCTCCTGGAGAGGGGGGAGAGGAGGTGGAAGGCGAACAGCGACATGGTAGGGACAGCTGTTCTGTTTCTAGATAGGAAGGTGGAACGTGATATATTGGCTGTAAATGATAAGAGCAGGTAGTGAGTTAGATATAAAGAGGAACTTTCTGACTAAAGAACTACTAGAGGGGAGGCCGGTTAGCTCAGGTGGTTAGAGCGCAGGCTCATAACACCAAGTTTGCCGGTTCGATCCCCACATGGGCCAAGGAGCTGCGCCCTCCACAACTAGATTGACGACAACGACTTGACTTGGAGCTGCTGGGTCCTGGAAAAACACACTGTTCCCCAATAAAATTTCTTCAAAAAAAGAAAAAAGAACTATTAGGAAAGGGAACTCACAAGAAAAAGGAAGTTCTCCGGGGTGTTAGGGTACACGTTCTACACGGAAGGAGACGGAAGGAGCAGGTGCGCTCCCGAGGTCTGGTCTGCTCTCGCCCGTCTGTTCCTTGTCCTTGCTTTTGTGCAGATACAGGGATCCACCCTCCTCCCCCCGCCCTCCCACCTCCATTTACTACCATAGCAAACCCTCCATTAAACAGTACTGCGATGCTGCAGGAACTTTGTGGCAAAGTCCCAACACCTGTGCCCCCTCTGTCCTTGGTAATAGAACTCCTGAGTTTTCCTGGGCACACAGCTACCCAGCCAAAGACTGAGTTGCTCTGACTCCCCTGTAGCTAGCGGTGGCAGCAAGGCTGAGTGCTGACCAGGGGGTGAGAAGGAAGCAAGAGGTGTGACTTCTAGGAATACCCTTCATTCCACTTTCCTGCATCCGACTGTCTGGAATGTGGATGTAACCCAGACCATGTTACATGGTATTGGGACCACTGATGATCTGCTCAGGTGGTAGCTCTGCACTTCTAGGGAGGGACACCTGGCCTTGTCCATCCCTGCACAGGGCTCTGTTATTCAGTTCTCACCTAATTACCTGCAAGAGATGCACAGTCTGTAATTCTTACTGGTTCATCCTAGGATATTTTCATGACTTGAACTGGAGGGGCAGTGAAGACCACCCACTCCTCCAAAGCTCCTCCACATGGGCTTGACTCTCGGGCTGATGGCTACGCCCAAGTCAGCCCCCTCCCTTCCCCGCTAGCCCCCACCCACAGCCATTCCCAGGTACCTGCTGCCGGGAGAGCAGGATGTGGGCTAGGTGCTTGCCAACCTCCGCTGATCGATGGAGACACACCCCCCAGGGGTTGTCGATGACATTGGCAACAGCGAGGAGTGAGGCTGGCCAGGTCAGGGCAGCCACAATACCTGGGGAGGTGGGAGGTCAGTGAGGAAGGCAGTGGGGGTCCTTGTAGGGATGTGATTGGTGGCTAATGGATGCCCAAAGTGAGTACAACTTGGAGCCTCTAAGTTTTCCAAGTGTTGTCAAACTGCTAAATTGCAAAGAAGAAAATTGAAGCTTGTGCATTTATGATACAGGGACTAGATCCCTTCTGTTCAAGCGTCTGCCATGGTGAGATTCCAAAGACGGCCCCAAGCTGTCACTCCACACGGGACCCTCCTACTTTGCCTATAGCTCTGCAGTGCCAGCCACCCCGGCCCTTCCCATCCATGCTAGGCTCATCCACGTGACTTGCCTGGCCAATGAGATGTTACTAGCTGTGAGATTGAAACGGACATATGCACCTTTGCTAGCCTCTCATGTACTCTACCATTGGTGCAGGCTAGCCCGCTGATTCCAGGAGGAGGATGGCAGACAAGAGGGGCAGGGCCGAGTTACCCGGGTTGCCCCAGACAAGGCTAGCCTACATCAATGGACACTCAGCGGACCAACGCACGCCTGGGCAGGCCCAGCAAAGATCAGCCAAGTGAAGCCTCATGACCCCTGAGCTATTAGGATAAATGATTGTTAAGTCAGTGAGTTTTGGGGTGGCTACTC